CTGTGGCCTATAGACATCTACATTTATCCTCGATTAAGAAACAAAATGCAGATGCGTTGACACTCCTGTAAAAGGGGTCTCTGGATCTCTCCACTCGCCAAACGAAACATAGCAGTATTAAGCTGCTATTTTACGCTGGTATTCTGTGAGAGAGTGGTCCTTTCCCGGTGAACTACAAACGTAATGTAGTTGCAGCGGGATCCCACCTCGTATAAAAGCCGTTAAAAGTACATACATTGGGTCTATTATTCTAAGATTCGTTGAATTTACAGAGTGCAAGTGAGTAATACAATAAATGTTTAATAAGGAATATGACATAGGGACTGGTGAATTCTAATAAAATGAAATGTAAAAATTACTCATTAAAATTACCAAAAACATTAATAATAATGCATGTTATAAGAAAAAAATCTACTACTACTAATATTACTTACTGTTTTAATATACATTATTCAAATATCTTACAAATGCATTGAACCATTTATTTTTATTATATATATATCTTAATTTTGATTACTTAAAGTTTGATTTTTATTTTAATATCTTAATAATTCTCCTAACATTAAGATACATTCATTCATTACAGCCCGTCGGGAGTTCATTTCTAAACATAGTTCTACCATATTGACTGCCTTACTGGGAGGTTAGGCAATAGATTACCTTATGACGGTACTGCACATTTTGTAATATATACATTGTGGCTTCTGAAGCACATAAATACCTGCAAGCAATAATAACTTAACATGAACTAATTTTATGAATCAAGATTTATTATGAATCCTTCGATAAATGTGGTTTTATTGATAAACCTGATTCGATGTCAAATTTTCAATGTCAATTGAAAATTAGCCTACTTTCCAATTTTGTATTTAGAGTTACCAATCAAATTATGTCCGCATTCGTCACAGCGTGGTCTTTCAGATTGGTTTTTAATCGCTTATTATCTTCCATTCTTAGTCTATTTACCACACAGGCAAATATCCAACGACACCTTCCTTTAACCGCTTCCGCTTATACTGTTAGTCCAACGCATTCATTTTCAAAGAGAACTAAATCAACGTAGTACTTGCTATCCACAGATTTTGGCTTAGACAATATTTTAGACTTTACCCCATGCGGTCTATAGTGGTAGCTTATACTTTATCTGAAAACTTGACTCTTGTTGTGTAAGGAACTACTAAATAAACTTTAACAAGAACACCCAACAGAGTTGATAGTGAATAGTCGCCTTTAGGTAAACAATGGGACAGTATAAGGCCCTTTGTGTGGGAATAATTGAGCAACCAGCTAATAAAGACAATGGACGACGTTTGGGAATATTTTATGAAATCTAATGGCCTTTATATTCTCTGATCGATTATTCATTAATATAATAAAATATCTCTGCTTAGTAACCAGAATACTTGATTACGGTATCGTAGTTACTATGTTAAAATATACAAAATTGTGTGCGTTCCTATATGTTATAGTAGACCTTGGTTCAATGATACCGCATAGGAGTCTATTTCCGATATCCAGCCATTCCAGCGTCAAGCCAAACTGAGAAGATAAGACAAGCGTGTCTCTATTTTTTAGCAATGGACTGGCCATGTAGCTCCAAAAACCAAAATCCTATGAGGAAGAAAGGTTCTCGAGTGGCTGCTTAGTATCTTTATTCGATGTGTATGGCGTTTCTACATTGGTAAGATGACGATGCGACGAGAGTGTAATGTTCAGCAGTGTATTTCAGAAGAACTGTAATGATAATTATGATGTTATACGAGCTAGCTAAACTGCCATCTATATGGCTATGAGATCTTTCTAGGCTTACAATTAGTCGCCTTTCATAGCTCCAACGGGAAGAGATAGTGTGGAGGAGTCTCTTACGACACTATCAAATGACCAGTTATAATAGTTGATTTTAGCGATTGTAGCGATTCTGGTTGGTAGGATTTTTAATTGTGTCTAGGAGCCTGTCCATTTTGGTATCCATACTCCTATTTATTTTTGTAGGCAGTACTTAAATTAAAATAAAAGACTCAAAATCAAAGACAGTGCACCCGTTACAGTTTTCGTTTTAAAATACAGGAACCAATATAACTAATATCTTTATACCTCACGTTTTGTCTGTATTTGTTGAAAGAAGTGGCGGCGCTGTCGTCGCGCCACAAGCAAAACATATCGAAGCCTAAATCGTGCTGTCAAAGTTTCGAATTAAAAACAGTATATATAGAATAGCTTCGAACTATCACACGGAGTGTTGGCCGCTTCCCGGGCAGAACACCTTGCACGGCGGGAGATCTCCCTTTTTCCTTCCACTGCCAAAAAGAGTATCCATAGGCTGCAGCAGCACAAACTTGACAGTTTGCCTGTTTGTTATTTCAATACTTTAAAAAAAGAAGGCTTTCAACGAAAAATATATGAAATTACAAACAATATAAAAAGGAAAACTTTCCTTCCTCAGCAACGGCATCAGAAGCTATATTTTGTAGTAATTATTTTATTATCTTAGTTTAAATATTTGATACTTTTGAGTGGACTTAACAATATTACTATCTCAAAGTAATAACTAATATGTTATCTAAATAAATAGTTATTTCAAATCTTCCACTTCATACTATTTTTTCTATTTAATAAAAAGGAAACAATTAAATCTGTTATATATCGCTTTATATACATACATAAAATACATTCGAATTGAAAACCTGTTTTTTGAAGTCTACTAAAAACGAATTTACAATTTTTTTAAATGTTGTGTGGGCTACGAAGCCCCTATTCAACAACCGGTTGAACTATTTGAATTTATCACGGCGACGCGCCGTTGTCGACGTAACTGTCACAGGCAGAGATATGGAACTGGGACAGTGCATCTGCGTGACATTGATGCAGCGACATCAATAGCTTTGAAAATACGTTTCAGTGATTTTTTCCGTTTCTAATGTTAATAAAATTGAATTTTGATGTTCTATTTTTTATAATAAATAAATGCGGCTCAGCTGATAAGATACGTTTCGACCGCCACCCATGAACAACTGCAACACCAGGGGAATTGCTAATGCGTTGCTGACCTTTTAAAAAAAGAGTAGGCTCTCTTATGGAAAGTTCCTAAGTCGTATTGTTGCGGAAAAACCGTTGATAGTAGTCGATTCCACAAGGAACTTGTGTGAAGACGAAAACTTCTAGTATTTTTTAATAGAATAGGACGATAAACGAGCACAAAGTCCACGTGATGGTAAGTGGATGTTGTGGCCGATAGACATCTACATTTATTTTCGATTAAGAATAAAAATGCAGATGCTTTGTTACTCCGTAGGACTATGACGGAACGCCTCATTTCCAGTAAAAAGGGTGTCCAATTCTCTACACTAACCATACCAAACACAGCAGAATTGAGCTGCTATTTTACTTACCCCGGTTGAACCGACACATTCGCGCTACAACTATAATATAGTTTCAGCGTAGCTCTACCACGTAAAACTTACACGTATTTGTCAATCATCAGCAAATGAGAATACTTTTTCAAGTATGAGAGGATCGATTGAAAATATTGACTGAATGAATTAGAATTAAATCCGCAAATCCGCAAAATGAAAATCCATTTGCGGCTTGATGACAGCAAAACCAGCATGCAAGTGGCATATTCTTTCAAATAAAGGAGAGTTCCATGTCCAGCTGTCGACTGTATGCGGACTGATGAGGAAGAATTCTTATCTGACAATTATTATTGAGATCGCGTCAACTATGTAAGCAGTATATATGACTCAATTTATTTGTAAATCGATTAGTAAATTAAAAACCACCGTTACTCAAAACCATTATTAATCAAGTCAATTGTCTATTAAATAAAAAAAGGAGTTGAATTTTTTATCATTGTTCCCCATTTCCCTTAATTCAAATATAATAATGCTAAATTCGTTACTTGGGTCATTTCAATGGTTGCCAGGTAAGCAATATTAATACGAAAAGCGATAAATTAAATACTTTTCGACACGGGGAAACGTCGGCTTTGATAATGTTGTTTTAATACTGCGAAAAATTACCGCGAGAGGATTATTATAAATGGCAACACTGAATTATTTTAATGTCAATTATTTTTTTCTATATTCTCATGTCGGTTAAAGGATGCTTTAGAGCAAAATCATTTATAAATTTAAGACAAGGGATGTAGGGGATAATAAACTCAAATTGCTAACATATTATGTCAGTAGCGTGAAAATAGTATTAAAATATATTTATAAGTATAAACTGTATTTTAAAACTAAATAACATTTTTTTAGATAATGTAACAATTAAATAACATCCAGCAACAATTTAGTTTCGGCAGTGTCGTTAGTGGCGACTATGGGATGGCCAGAGAGACGTTATGGTTTCCGATAGATAACTTTATATTTCCACCTAGTTTACGCCAAGTGTTTTAATACCTAGACAGGCGGTAGGGATCACAGTCAAGACGACATATCTTTAAATGCATACCCCACCCCACTCCACCTTCCAAGCATGACGAGTAAGGGAAATCCTAATCTATACGGAAAAGACCTATATAATTAACCATAGACTTTTAGGTCTGTGTTCTGAGAGAAAATGTAAAATTAATTTATAGTAAGAAAATTATGGTTGTAGTATTTCATTCCTTTTTATAATTTAGGTGATATAGTTTCTTAAGTTTGCAATGTTTTAACAAAATTTACACGTGTCGTTGGAAAATACGCATGAGGATTTTATAGGAAAAACTACTACACAACTTACTACAAAAAACCCTCTCAGCAAAATGATGTCGTTTTTACTCTACTTTTTTTTAAAAAAAATCACTTAGTTATGTAGTTCTATTTTTAGTTCTAAGGTATCCGCTCCATTATTAAAAGAAATAAAGAAGTGCGACACTATTATTATTTACGAAAATTTTGTTGCTACCACTATAAAAAATAACAAAGGATTACAAATAGCAATCTCCGATAGATATTAACTTAAACTTTAACTAAAAAATAAAACTTCTAATTGTCATTTATTTCTTTTGTTCACAGCACCTCCAAACGCTGTAGAAATAATTAATCACCCACCTAACTCCAAGCTAGAAGTCAAGGAAGGTGAAGACGTCACACTTGAATGTCAAGTCAAGAATGCTAAACCGGCCGCAAGGATCGTGTGGTATCGAGGAAACGTGGAAATAAGAGGTGACAGAGGTCAGTATACTTTTTGATAATTTGTTTTTTAAAAAGTTAGATGAAAAATGCTTATTTACTTCAGGATGTAGGTAAATTACGTAATTAAGAAAATTACCCTAGAAGTCTGTCAAATTACAATCCATTCGTAAATTGTTGTGTTTCTTTTTGCAATCAAGTGTCCATGTATGAATCATAAAAGGTAATGGCGCTTCTGAAGCCTGTTTAAAATAAATGCTGATCAATGTTACCTTTTTGGATTAAGGAATCACCTTTACATCAAATTAAGGAACTTAGTATTATAAATACACGAGTTAAGCTAGGCATTTGTCCATTTATACACGAGGCATTAGGAAAGGTAAACTTCAATTTGAGAGAAATGAGAGAAGGAGAGATATTCCTATAAGTACGTCTTTTTACAATATTTTAAACTTCAGGATTAATTCTATAGTATACACCTACACTAATTCTCACTTACAAATAAGTTCCTTGGATCGATGGATTCCTTTTCTATGGTACTGTAGCGCGTTTGCATGTCATTACGCGTACGAATCTGATAAGCAATCGGTTTTCGTTGCCTATAGAGCCTTGCGAAAGAACTGTACCTAAAGCGTAATTTTATGCATCTGTGTTTAGCACACAGAATTAAGAAAAATCCGGAAATTAAAGTAAAAGGGCATCGACTAATAGCTGCTTGCTTTTTTGGAAAACGTCTAAGTGAAAAGTTCACAAACAGTAATCATTGATCTATCCCTTACGGCCCATAAAATTCAACTGAACATAGACTTCCCTCATAGATTGTCTCATGGGGGATTTCTCCACAGTTGCCACGCTTGGCAAGTACGTTGGCAACCTCCGTTTTTTAGTTAATTCTAAGTTATTATCAGGAATATGTTGCTGCCCATCACTGTACCCTCTTTCGCTTCTTAGGACACCTTCAGGACGATATGGGGTTGTAAATATTCATAAAATGTTCAATATTCTCTCGTGAAAAATTTCCGGAAAATTTCTGCATTTGATTTTTATTTTTTACTCATACATAATAAATATGATTAAAAATTTAGAAAATTTGATTTTTTTCACTTGTTTTGTATTTATATTATTGACGACTCCGTGGCGCTGTGGCTTAGCAATGAGTGGCTGCGCTGGGGTCGCGGGTTTGAATTCTGCACGGAACAAGTATTTGTATGGCCTACAAATAGTTGCTCCGGGTCTGAATGTTTGTCCTTGTGCAATTTAAGTGTGTAAACTGCCCCCACAATACAGGAGAAAATCCAAGTGTAGGGGTAAAGTTATTAAAAATTGAAAAGAAAAGATTTACATTCTTATCACTAGTTCTCTATCAGTTCAGTAATCCCATAGATCAGGCCTTTTACACCTTTCATTTTAATTCACGTTCAGTATTTCTTATAGTCACCTATTACAGCACCAAGGGGATTCGCGTAGGCCACAATCACTCGACAACTTTTTGTTAGAACTTTGTTCACTCAAGTATAGCTTGTTAGTGCCTTCCAATTTAAAGATTGGTTCCGTTTCCTATGCGCTAATATTTTTATCGTCATTTCCGTTTCTCCAAATTTCGGTTCCAATTATGATTTCAGTCCGATCTAGTTCCAATTCGCTTCAGAGATCAGCGCTGGCAGCGTTCCAGTTTTAATCTAGATTGTATTTTTTTATGTCTATTTGAAAACGTTAAGTAAAGAGAACTCCAATGATAAAATATTTTTTATTATTCTTGAAGACAGACCTTATAACGTGAAAGAAAATAATATTATGATATTCATGACATTTTGTTATTGTAATATGTTTTGAATTATTATGTTCAATTTTAAGCTTATAGTGAATTTGAACGGGAGTGCTGAATTGTTTGAGTTTAGGCTATATTATCTAACACAAATTTAAACGTTTTGAATTTTGTATTTATACCTAGGCTGCACTAAAAGTATCGGGAATGGAATATTTCCACTGTTCCTGTCACATTAAAATCTTTTTAATTGAAAACTCCTTGGTTTTAAAAATCGAATACCATTTATTTATTTAAAAAAAGATTCTCGGTCTTGTCACAAGGTTTTGTCAAACTTGTTTAGTCGTTGAGAAAATGGAATTGACTCGAGAAAATTCAAGAGCGATGATTTATTATGACTTACGAAGTGATTTAATACAAAAACAGTGTGTTGACCGGATGATTTCTGCATTTGGTGATAAAGCCCCATCCAAAACCACAATTTATCGCTGGTTTGCTGAATTTCAACGTAGACGCGTCAAGCTCAGTGATCCCCGTCAAAGTCGTCCAAAAACTGTCACCCAAAAAAACGTTGATGCTTTGCGTAAGCTGATTGAGGAAGATCGACATGTGACATACCGCGAAATTCAGGCAACTTTAGACATTGGCATGAGTTAAATACAAATAATCTTGCATGAACAATTAGGTGTAAAAAAGTTGTTTTCCCGATGGATACCGCATTCGCTCTTTGAAGAGCAAAGAGCGAAAAAAAAAACTACGCGTACGAACCCGAAACAAAAAACCAGTCACGAGTTTGGGTGTTCGAAAATGAGTTAAAGCCAACAAAAATTGTTCGTTTACGGAGTGTTGCAAAAAAAATGGTGGCCACGTTTGTCTCCAAAATCGGCCATGTTACGACTATTCCTCTTGAAGGACAAAGAACGGTTAATGCAGAATGGTATGCTAGCATTTGTTTCCACAGGTCGTTTCTAAACTCCGTAAGAAGAACTGCAACCGCCGCATCAACCTCCATCACGACAATGCGAGTTCTCACACCGCACACAGAACAAAAGAGTTTTTAGGGCAAGAAAACGTAGAATTACTAGACCATCCGCCGTACAGCCCCGACCTAAGCCCTAGTGATTTCTATACTTTCCCTAAAATAAAGAATAAATTGCGTGGACAGAGATTTTCATCACCTGAAGAAGCTGTGGACGCCACACACAAAACGGCCATTTTGGAGACCCCAACTTCCGAATGGAATGGTTGCTTCAATTATTGGTTCCATTGTATGGAAAATGTGTCTAATTTCGCGGAGAATACTTCGAAAAGCAATAAATACATTTTTAAATAGTAATGTTATGTCACTTCCTTGATTCCCGAAATTTTCAGTGCCGCCCTCGTATAGCATGGAATAATTTCACGTAGTGCCATCTTAATAATAACGAACGAACGAACCTTCTCTTCTGAAGTTGTCCGCAGGTGACTCGGACCTGCATTTTTTATAGGATTGGATACAAGAGAACACACAGTCCACGTGATGGTAAGTGGTTGATGCGTCTCATAGACATCTACATCCTTCCTCAATTAGAAATCAAAATGTGGATGTGTTGTTACCCGTGAGGACTAAGATGGAATGCCTCGTTTACAGTAAAAAGGGCCATTTTGGAGACCTCAACTTCCGAATGGAATGGTTGTTTCAGTGATTGGTTCCATTGTATGGAAAAATGTGTAAAATTTCGCGGAAAACACTTCGAAAAGCAAGAAATACATTTTTAAATAGTAATGTTGTGTCACTTCCTTGATTCCCGAAATTTTCAGTGCCACCCTCGTACTTTATGTTGTCTCTGAATAATTTAGGATTTATTTTTATCGTATACTTATTACAGTTATAAGAATTGACTGACTTTCCATCTTAGATTTTAGGGATAACGGTTCACTTTTCTTTCAACTTCACTAACTGTTTGGTTTATGTACATGTAATTCGAATTCATTCCGAAATTATTTTCGTTATCGTAATCATTATTGCAGCCTATAAAGTCAACTACTGAACGTAATTCCACCCTAAATACAGTCACAAGCTGAAAGTCCAGAATACATAGAGGTGATAATGATGACATTCAATAAAATTAATCATTATAACATTCCAAATACGTCAAAGTATACATTTAAACAATATCAAATGAAGTACGCTTTATAGATAGTTAGTAAACAAAAAATAGTAAATTTTTCAATATCAATATTCCACGACTCGTTCAATAGTGCCCCTAACGAAGCGGAAGTCTTTCCGTTCAAGGACCTAGCGGTCTAAATTGCTGTAACTGTTGCTGATGAATTTCATACCAGATATGGTGTAATTTGTGGATTATATTCTACTATATATATATATATATATATATATATATATATATATATATATATATATATAACTACCTTTGATTTTTTATAGAATAAGGGTGACAAACGTGCACACAGTCCATCTGATGGTAAGTTGATGCAGGGCTCATAGAAATCTACATTTATCCTTGATTAAGTATCAAAACGCAGATGCCTTGCCACCACTGAGGACTAAGATAGAATGCCTTGTTTCCAGTAAAAAGGGTCACCGGTTCCCTATTCTTACCACCATACGAGACACTAAAATATTTAGCAGCTATTTTACGATGGTATTCTGTGAGAGCGTAATCTTTCTCCGCTCAAACCGACTCATTTGTACTAAAACCATAATGTAGCTGCAACATGGCTCTCCCACGTAAAAAAATTATATAAATATATATCACATTCAACTGTGCGGAAAAGTGCCGTACTGGTTGCCGTGATGATGTTGTGACCAGAATTAAGAAAGGAATGCTTCGGTGGTGTGGTCATGTGGAAAGAATGAATAAGGAAAGAGTGACAAGGAAAATTTATGTTGCAGAAGTGAATGGCAGAGTCGGAAAGGGACGTCCTAGGCGAAATTTTATCAACCAAATTAGCGATTTATTGAAAACGGGCCAAATTAGGAGTACCCTTAATCGACGAGCATGTATGCCTAAGGTATATGGACGTGAAGGAGGCGAGAGTGGTCTGTCATGATCGTGCCAAATGGAAGTCTGTAGTCTCTGCCTACCCCTCTGGGTGACAGGCGTGAGTGTTTATGTATGGTTGCCGTATCTCGTGTCTTTGGATTCTGGAATTCAATTGCAGCCAATTTTAATATTCATTTCGAATAAGAATAGTGTGTTTCTATGGTTCATTGTACAGTCGATCTCTCGCTATCGTTTTATACTCGTACTTAAATGTAAAAAAATTGCTACAC